ATCTATCACTTAGCATCTATCTATCTATCTATCTATCACTTAGCATCTATCTATCTATCACTTAGCATCTATCTATCTATCTATCTATCTATCTATCATCTATCTATCTATCTATCACTTAGCATCTATCTATCTATCTATCTATCTATCTATCTATCTATCATCTTCATTGGTTATGCTTAAACATGTATTAATTTTGAGGACTTCAATAAAAGACAGAAGAAAGGAAAGAAAAAAGAAAAATTCTTTTTCTCTTTTATGTTATTTCCATTTTGTTTTTTTTGCTCTGTTGCTCTTATTAAAAGTGTCTCAACCTTTCTATTAAGGACAACCCGAGCGTTTTATAATGAACTATTAGTTTTAATCCTTTAAAGGTAATGACTTAAACAAATTAAATCTGGGGAATATGTAAAGATAAAATATTTTGAGTCAAAACTGAATTCCTTAGATATCATGAAAGATGAATGACTTGAGAATCACCTATATTTTTCTTCACTGTTTCTTTGCTGTACAGGAGGTGTCCGTTTATTTTGCTACACTGTGTGCACTTAGTAGATTAATATTGCAAGTCCACAATGATCTTACAATTAAAGGTCTTAGAAATCCTGTTAGAATTAGAGGTGTTCTAATTCTAAAAAGTGTTAGAATACCATTAGCTGGTCATTGAGTTCCAGATATTTGATGCAATTAGAACATTCCAAAATCATGAACCTCAACCTCACAGAATTTCAGTCTGTGTAGTGCTATCTTGATTCAGACAAATCAGGAAAATATAAAAGTGTTTATTTTCTCACAAGTGACTGCCTCATAGATAGATAATACTAAAATATACAAAGTAGGATCTGTGCATGGCTGAATCCATTTTTAAAATCTCGATTTTACTTCAAAGACACCATCACTTTGGGAAAACTAGTCATGTGACATTTTTCCACCTCACAGCCTAAAAAATATTTTCCTAGCCCAAAAACCTGAATGGTGCTTATGGGCAATTTATCGCTCATGGGGGGTGGGGAGAATTGGAAGAGAAAATGTTATTGAAGCTGTGACCTGGTGGGAACGAAGGAAGGAAGGGAGCTGTGAGGTGGGAAGCTGTGCTCACCGACTAGCCGACCTGTGTCCCACGTTTGCTCTGAGTGTCCTGTCAGCCGTTTTCTTTGAGTTTTGTCACTGTTGCTGTTTTCTCTTGGGCATGATATCTGCTTTTCCAGAAGATCACCCCTCCCCTGCCCCACCCCAGGCAGGGTGTAGGCTTCATGCTGACTTTCCTGTGTGTGTTTGAGTCCCTGGTCTTTTGCTGCTTTTCTCATGCCTTTTCTTTATGATGTTTCAGCTCATCCACCATACACCATGTGCTTTAGAGTGAAATTCTACCCACACGAACCCTTGAAGATTAAAGAAGAGCTCACAAGGTATTTTCCATTTGTTTGTCTGTTTAACATGCCCCTCTGGCCAGCCAGGGCCTCCGAGTCTTACAGGCGACATGAGCCTCCTGCCTGGAGCAGAGCATCTCAACGAAGCAGTCGCTCCACTCAGCATTCTGGCTTGCAGTGATTCTGTTGCACTTAATTGTCTCGGGATTTTTCAAACAGTTGTCATTGGGAGTGTAATTAACTGCACGAAAAAGCAGTGGTTATAAGGGGGAGGTCCTCTCTGAAAACGTCTGACAGTGGGGTGCTAAAAATAAACAGGAGATGACAGTCCTTAGGATATGGGCAAATTCCTAGCTAGTGTAGCCCCCACAGCCTATCTTTTGGATCTAAGCTTCTCTGGGAGGGAAAAGATCACTTGATAGAAAGGACTGTTTGTCATCCACATTCCACTTGCTAAGTGGCCTATGGTGGGGCTGGCTTCCCTCTACTTGTAGAGCCAAATTTTCCAGTCCTCGGGCCTCCTCCCTTCTCTCCCTCTGTGGGGGCCATGTTCAGTCTACCTTCTGTGACCAGCCTCAGTCAATGCAGCTGAACAGGGTCCCCGGAGGGCCAACTTGGTGGATGGAGAAGAGCCCATGTGTGCTTAGTTCTTGATGAGGATCTGATTAGATGAAGGCAAAGATCACTGTGCATAACCATCTCTCAGAATGCTCTGCATAGGTCTGAACGCAGCAGAGAAGCAAATGCAGTTTGCTCTGATCTTCACTTGCAGGGGAATGTATGGGTTTCTTGGATACTTTGCTTTCTTGTTATCCACGAGCGTCAGTAAAGCTTGACCACAGTGGCACTGAGGTGACGTTGGAAGGGAGCAGATGGTTCCGTTCTCTGCTATTAATTTGTGCACAGCCATTTAGTGAGGTTCGTGCTTGGGGGCGGGGGCAGGGTGTGTGTGTGGAAAGGACGGATACATAGATGACGGACATTAGAAGTGGTGTTGGTATTTTGCAATCTGGCCAGCTTTTTTATTAATTGAGGTAAAATTCACACTTATAAGTTAGTGTCACCATTTCCAAGTGTATAATTCAGTGGCATTACAAACATGCCAGTGTTAGGCAACCATCCCCACTATCTAGTTCCAGAACATTTTCTCATCACCCCAAAAAGACACTGTTCTGGATGTTTCATATAAATGGAATTCTACGGTATGTGGCTTTGGCCTGCTTTTGGCTTGAAAAACTTATTCATTTATTTGATGAGTTGTTCATCAGTTCCTACTCTCTGCACAGCCCAGGGGATGGGGGCTGTTGAGCCACAGAAAGAAAGGAGAGATTCGTCCTGCCCTCTGGGTGCTAACAGTGTGATTAGGAAGATCAAATCAAATACTAATGCCAGGCATTATTTTGTCAGGTGCCAAAATGGCTCCCTTTTGTCATTTGTTTTCTTTAAATTCTTGTCTGGGGGGTAAAAATTGAATATGTGTTGCAACATAAGTTAAGGATGGATCTTTTGTTGAGAAAAGTCTCATTTGAAAGTGAGTACAAAGTTTTAGTTAATAACCCTGGTTAAACCCCTCTCAATTAAATTTGCTAGCATTTTCCTGCATTTGACTGAATAGCTAAGGTATGAATAGTGGAAAATCATGATCATGTTTATGTCTCCTAAGGAAATTAAGACAATACCATGTCCTTGCACAGGTAGAAATGGGCTTTTCTTAGTCAACACAGTCCTTAGAATTAAAAATGAATCTAGAATCTGTGGAATGTCCCTGGTACTTATGGTTGAAACACTACCTTGAAAGTGTTTAGGTTTTCTGTTTGATAAATTATTTTATTATAAAATTAATCTAAAATTTAAGAAGAGTTTAATATATGAGGAATTAAGACCCACATTCATGACCATGCTTAGGGCTAAAGAAACATTGAGAAAAAGGCATTGATAAATTATTTTATTATAAAATTAATCTAAAATTTAAGAAGAGTTTAATATATGAGGAATTAAGACCACACTCATGACCATGCTCAGGGGTAAAGGAACATTGAGAAAAAGGCAGGTTTAAAAGAACAAAACACCAAAAATACAAAAAAGGATATTTGAAATCATTTTTCATCCTTTGTCTCTCCATTTATGCAGTCATCTTACAATTCTTTAGATTTCTGGGGCTTTTGTAAATGCTGTATACAATTGAATATAATCAACGTATGTTGGTTTTAATTTTTTAGTAAGAGCCGTCTTTGAATTCATATTAGGTAGAGAAGCAATGTCATTAACGGGTGCACAGTAATGTAGGCCCCAGATCCTCTTGTGCTTTTGTTCCTTAATCCTTTCGTGTGAGTGATGCCAAAGGAAGAGACGTTATTTATTTATTTATTTGGTGGCTGTCATATTAAAAAATGAGCGTTTGAACCTGAAGCCATTTGTAAGGCTGAGTGGATTATGCTGAATCCACGATAATCCATGGTTGTCTCTCGAGATCACTGATATGAGCAGGGACCCAAGCTCGGATGTTGTGAAAGCTGATTTTCTTTTCTCGGGAAGCTTTCCTCACTCTTGATTTCTGAGTTATGGGATTAGGACCCAAACCTCTCATTCATCAGTAAACAGTTATTCAAAACTCTTTTTCACTACAAAACTCATCAAAAAGTAGAAAGGAATGCTTTGTGTTCAGTGCATACAGTCAGCAAGTAGAGAGGAAACCTCGTGACCTTTGGCCTGGTAGTTTACAATCTTTAAAAAAGGAAAGATTCGATCATTTCAAGTGTTTTGTGATATTGACATTCTGAGTGGTCTCTGGCCATGGTCCTCCAAGTGAGGTCCCTGGACCCACAGCATCAGCATCCCCTGGGAGCTCGGCCCCTGTCCCAGACCTGGGATGGGGCCCAGCAATCTCTATTTTCATAAGCCCTCCAGGTAATTTTAAAGCATGTCAAAATTTGAGAACTCTACTAAGTCAATTTGGATTCTCAAAAGTGTTAGTATTTAGGGGCAGACATTACAGTGTACACTTCAGTGGGTTTAGTGTGTGCACAAAGTTGTGCCACCATCACCACAATCTAATTCCAGAACATTTTTATCACCCCAGTAGGAAACCCA